CTGAGCTTTATTTGGCTAGTAGGTAAATAGGCCTACATTAGGGTATAATGACTCTATTGCTGCATGCCTCCAGAAGGGCATCTTCTGAGGCCGAGGGGTGCTTTTCCGAAGGCGCATGGTGCTGCTTGGAGATCACAAGCTCTTCAACTGGGCAGCGGCGTCGCGATGGAGGGAACAGCCTATACGGAGACTACATAAGACCACTCCAACAGAGTTATTGTAAAGTGAGGGAAAAAGTTTATGCCAGACTTAGCCTCTGTTTAACCTCTCCCTTGTTCATTTCAAAGTCCATAATCTTCATGACCTGATTCATGTAAATCATGTCAAACTATTTAAAATTAACCCCTCCTACAGAATATGCTTTATCAAGATTGAATGGTGAAATAAATATCAAAATATTATATAAAAAAATATTTTGAGTGGCAAAGACACCAGTGGTCATACATAATTCATAGATTCACCAAACATATATTATTCTACGTCCTTGTACAGCGCATTCGGAAAGTATTCAGATCCCTTGACTTTCCACATTTTGTAACGTTACAGCCTTATTCTAAAATTGATCAAATAAATGTTTCCCTCATCAATCTACACACAATACCCCATAATGACAAAGCTTAAACAGGTTTTTAGATTTTTTTGCATAATATTTTATTTACATAAGAATTCAGACCCTTTGCTATGAGACTCGACATTGAGCTCAGGTGCATCCTGTTTGATCATCCTTGAGATGTTTCTACAACTTGATTGGAGTCCACCTGTGGTAAATTCAATTGATTGGACATGATTTGGTAAGCCATACACCTGTCTATATAACGTCCCACAGTTGACAGTGCATGTCAGAGCAAAAACCAAGCCATAAGGTCGAAGGAATTGTCCGTAGAGCTCCAAGACAGGATTGTGTCAAGGCACAGATCTGGGGAAGGGTACCAAAAAATTTCTGCAGCATTGAAGGTCCCCAAATAACACAGTGGCCTCCATCATTCTTAAATGGAAGAAGTTTGGAACCACCAAGACTCTTCCTAGAGCTGGCTGCCCGGCCAAACTGAGCAATCGGGGGAGAAGGGCCTTGGTCAGGGAGGTGACCAAGAACCCAATGGTCGCTCTGCCAGAGCTCCAGAGTTCGTCTGTGGAGATGGGAGAACCTTCCAGAAGGACAACCATCTCTGCAGCACTCCACCAATCAGGTCTTTATGGTAGAATGGCCAGACGGAAGCCACTCCTCAGTAAAAGGCACATGACAGCCCGCTTGGAGTTTGCCAGAAAGCACCTAAAGGACTCTCAGACCATGAGAAACAAGATTCTCTGGTCTGATGAAACCAAGATTGAACTCTTTGGCCTGAATGCCAAGCGTCATGTCTGGAGGAAACCTGACACCATCCCTACGGTGAAGCATAGTGGTGGCAGCATGATGCTGTGGGGATGTTTTTCAGCGGCAGGGACTGGGAGACTAGTCAGGATCGAGGGAAAGATGAACGGACCAAAGTACAGAGAGATCCTTGATGAAAACCTGCTCCAGAGTGCTCAGGACCTCAGACTGGGGCGAAGGTTCACCTTCCAACAGGACAACGAACCTAAGTACACAGCCGAGACAACGCAGGAGTGGCTTTGGGACAAGTCTCTGAATGAGCTTGAGTGGCCCAGCCAGAGCCCGGACTTGAACCCGATCGAACATCTCTGGAGAGACCTGAAAATAGCTTTGCAGCGATGCTCCCCATCCAACCTGACAGAGCTTGAGAGGATCTGCAGAGAAGAATGGGAGAAACTCCCCAAATACAGGTGTGCCAATCTTGTAGCGTCATACCCAAGAAGACTCGAGGCTGTAATCACTGCCAAAGGTGCTTCAACAAAGTACTGAGTAAAGGGTCTGAATACTTATGTAAATGTAATATTTCAGTTGTTTATTTTTAACACATTTATAACAACCTGTTTTTGATTTGTCATTATGGGATACTGTGGAAAAAAATCAAGGGTCTGAATACTTTCCGAATGCACTGTATATACTACTGGTTATGATCGCAGACAGAGCCCAGAGAACGGGATGCTGCAATATTGAATTAGTAATATTTTGATAAGGTGTATGCACGGGATGTCCACGTCACCCAGAGATGCGCCCACGCTGTAGAGATACACCTAGCAGACTGAAACTTCACTGTTGTAGGCATAATACAGCTAGTGCGATCTAGACTTGTGCTGGCAAACAAATACATTAGCTATCTAAACTCAACTGAGGAGTACTAGAGAATGGAGACTTTTAACTTGTAAAAAGGGCAGGATGCCTCTTTCCGGTTTCCCTGACTTTAATTTTTTATACTGTGTTATGCTTGTTCGTGTAGCACTCCTCACAGGCCGTTTGGTGTACGTTTTTTTTTAGTTGGTGAGATGAAACTGCCAAATCTCTGAAAGGCATTATTGTACGTCAGAATTGCAACACAAGATTTGTTCAAGCCTAAAATATTTGTCAGTAATCGTTTCATGGTGTTTCATGTTAACGTTTCATGGTGTTTCATGTTAAAGTTTCATGCATGGCTTTTACTTCCGATCCGCTCCATAAACATCTTCCGCCTCACGTTACCAAACCCCGCCCACTGCGTTTGATTGACACGTCTAACATCGATCATATAAATGTAAAGGAGTAATGAGGAAACAAAATAGAAAAATTAAGCATTGCATTTATTGAGTTTGATTGATAATTATAATTTTGACAGTCTTAAACCACACACAGTATACAAATGAGAATAGATTTGATTTTTGTCACAACAAGGAAATGAAATAGAAAACATGAGAAATGAAATAAGCATTTAGATTTAGATTGTAAATGTCAGTGTTGTACTGGATAGTACCATGGAAATGAAATATTAAATATACTTTGCCATTTCTTTTTCAGATTGGCAGACTTTATGCATACTCAATCATGACAATGATCATGCAATATATATTTTTGCATTTCAATTAGAATTTTGTCACAACATGCATACACATTTAGGAAAAGGAATAGCAAACATGATATTTATTTATCATTTGCATTTCCAACTGAGTACCGGCAGCTAAACGCTTCCATAGTCACCAACCAGTGTAGAGTATACTGGTATATGAAAACCAAATCTGGTTTGTTAGAAGAACCCGACCGGTCCCACCTCCAAGATCTCCTGCTCTCGCTCTCTTTCCCATTCTTACTAGTGATGGGAGAGAGTGTGATGGGAGAGAGTGTGATGGGAGAGAGATGAGAGTGCTAACGGTACCCAGCGCTCCATTGCAGATTAGTGATGGGCATTCCGAGTCTTTTCGGTGAGCCGGCTCATTTGGCTCCCAAACGGCTCTTAGTTCAAAATGCTTAAGAATCGACCTAGAACCATGAAAAATCTGCTAATCTCCAATGTAAAGCCCAAAAGGTAGGCTACCATTATGTCAGATTGTGAAATGCGCGTTCATTGTTTCTGCAGTGCGGATTCACCCTCTTTAGAGAATTATTTTGTAACTTATCTGCAGAAAAACTTGAACGACCATCATTATATTATACAGCAGTGCAAATTGCTGTTTGCACATCTACAAATCTTTGACAGGGTAGGGCGCTAAAGCACTGCCAGAAGTCTGAGCACGCAAAATTATATAATAATATAATAATAATATAATATGCCATTTAGCAGACGCTTTTATCCAAAGCGACTTACAGTCATGCGTGCATACATTTTTGAGTATGGGTGGTCCCGGGGATCGAACCCACTACCCTGGCGTTACAAGAGCCGTGCTCTACCAGCTGAGCTACAGAGGACCACATAATTGACATGTGCAGGTGTACTGATGCAATTATTGCTCACAAATATGAAGTTACAAGTTTGCAAATGCGATTACAACTACAAATTCGTTTTTTTTTTCATATTCACAACTCATCAGTTACATATTTACAAATTGTGTTCACAACTACAAATCTATTCTACATGCTCAAATCATAGTCAATGATTTACCTCCATATCCTTCGGCTCAGCAGCTCCAGAGACATGCTCCGACCACCAACTGTCTGTCATTGTCGGCAGGTCGCCTAGCGGTTAAGAGCGTTAGGCCAGTAACTGAAAGGTCGCTGGTTCGAATCCCCGACCTGACTAGGTGAAACAACTGTCGATGTGCCCTTGAGCAAGGCACTTAACCCTAATTGCTCCAGTAAATCGCTCTGGATAAGAGCGTCTGCTAAGTGACTAAAATGTAAATGTCATATGGGAAATAGATAATGAGCATAGAGAAGAAAAATACTGAATTGATCACATGGTGAATCAACGCAATGAAATGATTATTGAATGTTATGCTGGACACAGCTTTCTAGAACCAAAACATACACAGCCTCTGCTCAACGAACTCCATAACGAATGGTTTGGGGGTCTGCAGTTGGTGAATTACATTGTGCTCATCAAACTCAATAGTGTGCAACTGCAGCCCGCAAATCGTTATTTTTTAAAAGATTTTTGCATTTTCTCCCCGGTCCCTAAACGACAGAAGCAGAGAGGAAACAAAGTTTCCTGACGTCAACTAGACGGAATCATTCATTCTGTTGGTTTATGACATCATTCTGGTGAGCAAAGGGTCATTTAGTCTTCTGGGGCAAAATAATGACAGAAGAGAAGTTACATGTATCTAATTATGGACAAGTTGACTAACAAATAGCCGACCAAAATGTTGGTAATAAGTAGAAACACAGGCCTGTCAAAAAAATCGATCCGCAATCTTGGACTGTAGCCTACAGCGCATTCTCTATATTAGCGGGTTAGGGCCTCAGATTTTCACTTTATCACATATAGTCGGGCGGTTGAGGATGGGTTATTAGTAACTGCAGGCAGGTGAACAAACAGCTGACCCGTGTATCACTAGGGTGTGTGACTGTGGGTTTGTGCATTTACATGCATCTGCAGTGTGTTACTGGATACAGTCCATGACGTGGATCTGCAGTGTGTTACTGGATACAGTCCATGACGTGGATCTGCAGTGTGTTACTGGATACAGTCCATGACGTGGATCTGCAGTGTGTTACTGGATACAGTCCATGACGTGGATCTGCAGTGTGTTACTGGATACAGTCCATGACGTGGATCTGCAGTGTGTTACTGGATACAGTCCATGACATGGATCTGCAGTGTGTCCATGTCCGGGGCTTGGTACTGGCACTTTGGACAGCGGAAGTCAGGGAGCTCCTCAGCCCCGCCACCAGAGACACCCCCTAACACTCCTGCAGCCAATCCCACGCTGCGGAAGGAGGAAGGGGGAGGGGCCGTGTTAAAGGCACCTCCTGGGAATGCAACAGAGAGAAAAGAAAATGAAGAAGTGAGTCTATATAGTCTATTTAGCAGAGAGAAGTGAGTCTATATAGTCTATTTAGCAGAGAGAAGTGAGTCTATATAGTCTATTTAGCAGAGAGAAGTGAGTCTATATAGTCTATTTAGCAGAGAGAAGTGAGTCTATATAGTCTATTTAGCAGAGAGAAGTGAGTCTATATAGTCTATTTAGTAGAGAGAAGTGAGTCTATATAGTCTATTTAGCAGAGAGAAGTGAGTCTATATAGTCTATTTAGCAGAGAGAAGTGAGTCTATATAGTCTATTTAGCAGAGAGAAGTGAGTCTATATAGTCTATTTAGCAGAGAGAAGTGAGTCTATATAGTCTTTAGCACAGAGAAGTGAGTCTATATAGTCTATTTAGCAGAGAGAAGTGAGTCTATATAGTCTATTTAGTAGAGAGAAAGGGTCTGAAACTGAGTGTACCTGGTTGTTGTGTGTGTGTGTGTACCTTGTTGTGGGAGGATGTTGGGTCGTGGTATGAAGTCCTCCAGGTTGTTGTGCGTGTGTGTGTGTGTACCTGGTTGTGGGAGGATGTTGGGTCGTGGTATGAAGTCCTCCAGGTTGTTGTGCGTGTGTGTGTGTGTGTGTGTGTGTGTACCTGGTTGTGGGAGGATGTTGGGTCGTGGTATGAAGTCCTCCAGGTTGTTGTGCGTGTGTGTGTGTGTGTGTGTACCTGGTTGTGGGAGGATGTTGGGTCGTGGTATGAAGTCCTCCAGGTTGTGTGTGTGTGTGTGTGTGTGTGTGTGTGTGTGTGTGTGTGTGTGTGTGTGTGTGTGTACCTGGTTGTGGGAGGATGTTGGGTCGTGGTATGAAGTCCTTCAGGTTGTTGTGTGTGTGTGTGTGTGTGTGTGTGTGTGTACCTGGTTGTGGGAGGATGTTGGGTCGTGGTATGAAGTCCTCCAGGTTGTGTGTGTGTGTGTGTGTGTGTGTGTGTACCTGGTCGTGGTATGAAGTCCTCCAGGTGTCTCTGCTGCATCTGCTCCATACGAGCCCTTATAAACAAACACACACTACATTATTTCAATCCATTAATCCCAGTCCAGTGTGTGTGTGTGTGTGTGTGTGTGTGTGTGTGTGTGTGTGTGTGTGTGTTACCGTGAGGTCCCTTCCTGTTTCAGACGCTCCATCTCAGCCAGTGCTCTGTTCAGCTGGTCCTGAAGCTCCTCCTTCTTCTGGTGCAACTTCTCTCTGGCCTCCCGCTCCGCTAGGAAGTCTGCCTTGTAGATCTCAGCCTAACACACACACACAGGCACACACACACAGGCACACACACAAACACACAGGCAAACACACACACACACACACAGCAAACACACACACACACACACACACAGGCACACACAGGCAAACACACTTTTATTTATTTATTTTATTTCACCTTTATTTAACCAGGTAAACCAGTTGAGAACAGGTTCTCATTTACAACTGTGACCTGGCCAAGACAAAGCAAAGTAGTGCAACAAAAAACAACACAGAGTTACATATGGGGTAAAAAAAAAACATAAAGTCAGAGATACAACAGAAAATATATATACAGTGTGTGCAAATGTAGCAAGTTATGGAGGTAAGGCAATAAATAGGCTATAGTGCAGAATAATTACAATAGTATTAACACTGGAATGCTAGATGTGCAAGAGATTATGTGCAAATAGAGATAATGGGGTGCAAAAGAGCAAATTAAATAACAATATAGGGATGAGGTAGTTGGGTGGGCTAATTTCAGATGGGCTGTGTACAGGTGCAGTGATCGGTAAGGTGCTCTGACAACTGATGCTTAAAGTTATTGAGGGAGATAAGAGTCTCCAGCTTCAGAGATTTTTGCAATTCGTTCCAGTCATTGGCAGCAGAGAACTGGAAGGAATGGCGGCCAAAGGAGGTGTTGGCTTTGGGAATGACCAGTGAGATATACCTGCTGGAGCGCAGACTACGGGTGGGTGCTGCTATGGTGACCAATGAGCTAAGATAAGGCGGGGATTTGCCTAGCAGTGATTTATAGATGGCCTGGAGCCAGTGGGTTTGACGACGAACATGTAGTGAGGACCAGCCAACAAGAGCGTACAGGTCACAGTGGTGGGTAGTGTATGGGGCTTTGGAGACAAAACGGATGGCACTGTGATAGACTACATCCAATACATCCAACACACAGGCAAACACACACACACAGGCAAACACACACACACAGGCAAACACACACACAGGCACACACACACACAGGCACACACACACACAGGCACACACACACACAGGCACACACACACACACACACACACACACACACAGGCACACACACACACACACACACACAGGCAAACACACACACACAGGCAAACACACACACAGGCACACACACACACACAGGCACGCACACACACACACACACAGGCAAACACACACACACACACACACACACACACACACAGGCACACACAGACTTTATTTGAATTTACAAAACACATTACATTCAAGAGGGATAAAAAATGTCAAAGGTCACAGATACATGGACTATAGATACAGAAATACCTTTGTTCTCCATACAGATAGACTGACCGTGACACACAGCAGTAACTAGTTCTCCAGCTAGACTGACCGTGACACACAGCAGTAACTAGTTCTCCAGCTAGACTGACCACTGACACACAGCAGTAACTAGTTCTCCATACAGCTAGACTGACCACTGACACACAGCAGTAACTAGTTCTCCAGATAGACTGACCGTGACACACAGCAGTAACTAGTTATCCAGCTAGACTGACCACTGACACACAGCAGTAACTAGTTCTCCAGATAGACTGACCACTGACACACAGCAGTAACTAGTTATCCAGCTAGACTGACCACTGACACACAGCAGTAACTAGTTCTCCAGATAGACTGACCACTGACACACAGCAGTAACTAGTTCTCCAGCTAGACTGACCGTGACACACAGCAGTAACTAGTTCTCCAGCTAGACTGACCACTGACACACAGCAGTAACTAGTTCTCCAGATAGACTGACCACTGACACACAGCAGTAACTAGTTCTCCATACAGATAGACTGACCACCGACACACAGCAGTAACTAGTTCTCCATACAGCTAGACTGACCACTGACACACAGCAGTAACTAGTTCTCCAGCTAGACTGACCACTGACACAAAGCAGTAACTAGTTCTCCATACAGATAGACTGACCACTGACACACAGCAGTAACTAGTTCTCCATACAGCTAGACTGACCACTGACACACAGCAGTAACTAGTTCTCCAGATAGACTGACCACTGACACACAGCAGTAACTAGTTCTCCAGATAGACTGACCACTGACACACAGCAGTAACTAGTTCTCCAGATAGACTGACCACTGACACACAGCAGTAACTAGTTCTCCAGCTAGACTGACCACTGACCCACAGCAGTAACTAGTTCTCCAGCTAGACTGACCACTGACCCACAGCAGTAACTAGTTCTCCAGATAGACTGACCACTGACACAGCAGTAGTAGTTATTTGACCTTGGTCCTATGCAGCCTGCAATATAAAGGCCATGTTCTGTCAGCCTGTGTGCATGGCCAAGGCCGCCAAATATTATTATGCACTCATTACCAAGGGGTGAGTAAAGGTGAGTGTGTGGTGTGTGTGTGTCTGTGTGCGTGCGTGTTTATGTAGATGTGTAATTGGGCAGTGGGGCAGAGCTGGCTGCTACCAGCCACATTAAATAATATAAATAATATGCCATTTAGCACATTCACAGGTGGTAGATAGCGGACCCCAGATATAGAAGACAGTTATAAAATAAGTAGGGGCCACCTGATGAATACCAGAAGTGTTTTGGCCCTGCAGGACTGGAGTTGGACTGGAGTTGGACTGGGAGTTGGAGTTGAAGAACCCTGGTCTATTCTCCTGAATATAGGGGCCAAGCCAAGCCAAGCACTGGAGGCAGGGAGTGTGTTCACACTAATCCACTCGTAGCGCAGCCCTCAGCCCCTAGCCCCTAGCCCTCAGCCCCTAGCCCCTAGCCCTCAGCCCTCAGCCCCTAGAGCCCTCAGCCCCTAGCCCTCAGCCCCTAGCCCTCAGCCCCTAGCCCTCAGCCCTCAGCCCCTAGCCCCTAGCCCTCAGCCCTCAGCCCCTAGCCCCTAGCCCTCAGCCCCTAGCCCCTAGCCCTCAGCCCCTAGCCCCTAGCCCTCAGCCCCTAGCCCCTAGCCCTCAGCCCCTAGCCCTCAGCCCCAGGGTAAAGCAACAGGGGCAGTGTGTATCTGGGTGGTCAGTACATGGGTGAGTGTGTGTACCTGGGCGGTGAGAACAGGAACGGTCTCTAGAGATCCTCTCTGTTGCTCCACCTCTTCCTTCAGCTTGTCAATCAGGTCCTGTTTCAGAGCCAACGCTCTCTCTGCCTCCTCCACACGACCACACATGTCTCCTCCCTACACACACATGGCATTTATTGGTTATTGTGCTCTGGTTAAAAAGGTATTTGGGTACACTGGCTTGCCACACACACACACACACACACCTCAGTCTTGAGTTTGGAGTCGTAGTCCTTAAACAGGCAGGTGTAGGCATGCTGCAGCTGAGCCAGTTTCTTCCTGGAAGACAGAGAGGTTATTACAGTAATGATACATAATGTGTGTGTACGTCTCTTACAGTGCCTTGCAAAAGTATTCATCCCCCTTGGCGTTTTTCCTATTTTGTTGCATTACAACCTGTAATTTAAATGGATTTTTATTTGGATTTCATGTAATGGACATACACAAAATAGTCCAAATTGGTGAAGTGAAATGCAAAAAATAACTTGTTTCAAAAAATGCTAAAAAATAAATAACGGAAAAGTGGTGCGTGCATATGTATTCACCCCCTTTGCTATGAAGCCCCTAGATAAGATCTGGTGCAACCAATTACCTTCAGAAGTCACATAATTAGTTAGATTGCACACAGGTGGACTTTAATTAAGTGTCACATGATCTGTCACATGATCTCAGTATATATACACCTGTTCTGAATGGTCCCAGAGTCTGCAACACCACTAAGCAAGGGGCACCACCAAGCAAGCGGCACCATGAAGACCAAGGAGCTCTCCAAATAGGTCAGGGACAAAGTTGTGGAGAAGTACAGATCAGGGTTGGGTTATAAAAAAATATCTCAAACTTTGAACATCCCACGGAGCACCATTAAATCCATTATTAAAAAATTGAAAGAATATGGCAGCACAACAAACCTGCCAAGAGAGGGCCGCCCACCAAAACTCACAGACCAGGCAAGGGGGGCATTAATCAGAGGCAACAAAGAGACCAAAGATAACCCTGAAGGAGCTGCAAAGCTCCACAGCGGAGATTTGAGTATCTGTCCATAGGACCACTTTAAGCCATACACTCCACAGAGCTGGGCTTTACGGAAGAGTGGCCAGAAAAAAGCCATTGCTTAAAGAAATGATGGATGGCGCTAAATACAGGGAGATTATTGAGGGAAACCTGTTTCAGTCTTCCAGAGATTTGAGACTGGGACGGAGGTTCACCTTCCAGCAGGACAACGACCGTAAGCATAATGCTAAAGCAACACTCGAGTGGTTTAAGGGGAAACAATTACATGTCTTGGAATGGCCTAGTCAAAGCCCAGACCTCAATCCAATTGAAAATCTGTGATATGACTTAAAGATTGCTGTACACCAGCGGAACCCATCCAACTTGAAGGAGCTGGAGCAGTTTTGCCTTGAAGAATGGGCAAAAATCCCAGTGGCTAGATGTGCCAAGCTTATAGAGACATACCCCAAGACACTTGCAGCTGTAATTCCTGCAAAAGGTGGCTCTACAAAGTATTGACTTTGGGGGGGGGGGGGGGGGGGGGGGGGTGAATAGTTATGCACGCTCAAGTTCAGTTTTTTGGTCTTATTTCTTGTTTGTTTCAAAATAAAATAAAATTTGCATCTTCAAAGTGGTAGGCATGTTGTGTAAATCAAATGATACAAACCCCCCCAAAAAAATCATAGATTGCACACAGGTGGACTTTATTTAATTAATTGTGACTTCTGAAGGTAATTGGTTGCACCAGATCTTATTTAGGGGCTTCATAGCAAAGGGGGTGAATACATATGCACGCACCACTTTTCCGTTATTTTTTTTTTTGCATTTCACTTCACCAAATTTGACTGTTTTGTGTATGTCCATTACATGAAATCCAAATAAAAATCTATTTTAATTCCAGGTTGTAATGCAACAAAATAGGAAAAATGCCAAGGGGGGTGAATACTTTCGCAAGCCACTGTAGGTAATAACCAGTAGTGATGAAAAACATTTAATAAATTCAAATTAATCGATAGTTAAATATCGCTATTTTATCTTTGGATTATATTATATCGATATTTGACTCAAGTATCAATTTGTTCTACATCTTCTTTTAAAAAAGTGAGCCAAAATGTTTTCAGCATTTGTATTTATTGCCTTCTGTCTCTCTGAAGCAGACACATGGTGAGCAATATGTTTAGAACATTGAATCGCAATAAAATCACAGTATTGAAAACGCAATCATGAGTATTGCAATACATATCGTATCGGCACCTAAATATGGTGATAATATGGTGAGGTCCCTCAGTATGGTGATAATATGGTATGGTGAGGTCCCTCAGTATGGTGATAATATGGTATGGTGAGGTCCCTCAGTATGGTGATAATATGGTGAGGTCCCTCAGTATGGTGATAATATGGTATGGTGAGGTCCCTCAGTATGGTGATAATATGGTATGGTGAGGTCCCTCAGTATGGTGATAATATGGTATGGTGAGGTCCCTCAGTATGGTGATACTATGGTATGGTGAGGTCCCTCAGTATGGTGATAATATGGTATGGTGAGGTCCCTCAGTATGGTGATAATATGGTATGGTGAGGTCCCTCAGTATGGTGATAATATGGTGAGGTCCCTCAGTATGGTGATAATATGGTATGGTGAGGTCCCTCAGTATGGTGATAATATGGTATGGTGAGGTCCCTCAGTATGGTGATAATATGGTATGGTGAGGTCCCTCAGTATGGTGATAATATGGTATGGTGAGGTCCCTCAGTATGGTGATAATATGGTATGGTGAGGTCCCTCAGTATGGTGATAATATGGTATGGTGAGGTCCCTCAGTATGGTGATAATATGGTGAGGTCCCTCAGTATGGTGATAATATGGTATGGTGAGGTCCCTCAGTGTGGTGATAATATGGTATGGTGAGGTCCCTCAGTATAGTGATAATATGGTATGGTGAGGTCCCTCAATATGGTGATAATATGGTGAGGTCCCTCAGTATGGTGATAATATGGTGAGGTCCCTCAGTATGGTGATAATATGGTATGGTGAGGTCCCTCAGTATGGTGATAATATGGTATGGTGAGGTCCCTCAGTATGGTGATAATATGGTATGGTGAGGTCCCTCAGTATGGTGATAATATGGTATGGTGAGGTCCCTCAGTATGGTGATAATATGGATGGTGAGGTCCCTCAGTATGGTGATAATATGGTATGGTGAGGTCCCTCAGTATGGGGTGATAATATGGTGAGGTCCCTCAGTATGGTGATAATATGGTATGGTGAGGTCCCTCAGTATGGTGATAATTGGTAGGTGAGGTCCCTCAGTATGGTGATAAATTGAGGTCCCTCAGTATGGTGATAATATGGTATGGTGAGGTCCCTCAGTATGGTGATAATATGGTATGGTGAGGTCCCTCAGTATGGTGATAATATGGTATGGTGAGGTCCCTCAGTATGGTGATAATATGGTATGGTGAGGTCCCTCAGTATGGTGATAATATGGTATGGTGAGTCCTCAGTATGGGTGATAATATGGTATGGTGAGGTCCCTCAGTATGGTGATAATATGTATGGTGAGGTCCCTCAGTATGGTGATAATATGGTGATGGGTCCCCAGTATGGTGGATAATATGGTATGGTGAGGTCCCTCATATGGTGGATAATATGGTTATGGTGAGGTCCCTCAGTATGGTGATAATATGGTGAGGTCCCTCAGTATGGTGATAATATGGTATGGTGAGGTCCCTCAGTATGGTGATAATATGGTATGGTGAGGTCCCTCAGTATGGTGATAATATGGTATGGTGAGGTCCCTCAGTATGGTGATAATATGGTATGGTGAGGTCCCTCAGTATGGTGATAATATGGTATGGTGAGGTCCCTCAGTATGGTGATAATATGGTATGGTGAGGTCCCTCAGTATGGTGATAATATGGTATGGTTGAGGTCCCTCAGTATGGTGATAATATGGGTATGGTGAGGTCCCTCAGTATGGTGATAATATGGTATGGTGAGGTCCCTCAGTATGGTGATAATATGGTATGGTGAGGTCCCTCAGTATGGTGATAATATGGTGAGGTCCCTCAGTATGGTGATAATATGGTGAGGTCCCTCAGTGTGGTGATAATATGGTATGGTGAGGTCCCTCAGTATGGTGATAATATGGTGAGGTCCCTCAGTATGGTGATAATATGGATAATGTTTGTGTACTCTTCAGTAATAACCAGTCGGTCAGTCTTCAGGGCGGTTTCTAGGTTCTGTGTGTGTGTACCTCTCTTCAGTAATAACCAGTCGGTCAGTCTTCAGGGCGGTCTCTAGGTTCTGTGTGTGTGTACCTCTCTTCAGTAATAACCAGTCGGTCAGTCTTCAGGGCGGTCTCTAGGTTCTGTGTGTGTGTACCTCTCTTCAGTAATAACCAGTCGGTCAGTCTTCAGGGCGGTTTCTAGGTTCTGTGTCTGCAGCAGTAGTTTGTCTACCGTCACAGAGTGCTGCTTCCTCTGTTGTTCCATCTCTCTCTCTGATGCTGCCAACGCCTCCAGAGCACTGCTCAGCCTGCACACACACACACACACACACACACACACACACACACACACACACACACACACACACACACACACACACACATATTGTGAGTGATATGATGAGGCAGCTCTCTCCTTCCATTGTGAGTGATATGATAAATAAATAATGTTGCCCTTGGTTCTATCCCTTTGTATATCCAAGCCCTCAGTTTGTGAATGACAATGCTATTGGTCCTTTGTTCTAGTTGTGATGGCAGACATCTCATCTGTCTAGTGTTAAACCCATATTCCTGTTACTTTGTCATGTCTGCACCTTTGTTGATGTGTTCTTAATGTGTTTTCCTTCCAAACCACCACATTATTCCCAACCTACTGGCCTTTAAAACCCTCCATTACAGTCCATGGTCCAGCAACAGTCCTGAACTTAGTTTACAGTCCATGGTCCAGCAACAGTCCTGAACCTAGTTTACAGTCCATGGTCCAGCAACAGTCCTGAACCTATCTTACAGTCCATGGTGGCAGCAACCCTGAAACTAGTTTACAGTCCACTCCAGTCCTTTTCTTTAAACACACATTCTAAACACATCACATGGGCTTGGGACCCGGCTAGTCTGCATGCCACAGATGGCTAACGCATAGGCAATTTGCTGAGAGTTAACACACAAACACGTTGTCATACTTGTCATTCAGTATGTTGTGGTCCTGCTGGCTCTGGTCCAGACAGCTCTGTCTCTCTCTCAGCTCACCCAGAAGAGACGTCACCTGGGCCTTCAGCGCCTCGCCATCCTTAGCCAGCTACACAAACACCATAGACAGAGAGATAAAAATAGTTAATACTCAAGACAGTGAGAGAGAGTTGTTACTCTGACACACAGAGAGAGTTGTTACTCCGTGACACACAGAGAGAGTTGTTACTCTGACACACAGAGAGAGTTGTTACTCTGACACACAGAGAGAGTTGTTACTCCGTGACACAGAGAGAGTTGTTACTCTGACACACAGAGAGAGTTGTTACTCCGTGACACAGAGAGAGAGAGAGAGAGTTGTTACTCCGTGACACAGAGAGAGAGAGAGAGAGTTGTTACTCCGTGACACAGAGAGAGAGAGAGTTGTTACTCAGACAATACGATGCAGTAGGACTGAGTGTTAGGGACAACATGTGCTGTGTGTTGTGAGTGTTTCAAATCCCATTTTATTTGTCACATGCGCCGAATACAACAGGTGTAGACCTTACCTTGAAATGCTTATTTACAAGCCCTTAACCAACAATGCAATTAAGAAAAATAAGAGTTAAGAAAATATTTACTAAATAAACGAAAGTAAAAAATAAAGTAACAATAAAATAACTAAATGAGGCTATATGCAGGGGGTACCGGTACCGGGGTAGGGCCTTCCTCTGACACCGGCTGGTATAGAGGTCCTGGATGGCAGGAAGCTTGGCCCCAGTGATGTACTGGGCCGTACGCACTACCCTCTGTTGCGCCTTGCAGTCGGAGGCCGAGCAGTTGCCATACCAGGCGGTGATGCAACCAGTCAGGATGCTCTCGATGGTGCAGCTGTAGAACTTTATGAGGATCTGAGGACCCATGCCAAATCTTTTCAGTCTCCTGAGGGGGAATAGGCGTTGTCGTGCCCTCTTCACGACTGTCTTGGTGTGTTTGGACCATGATAGTTTGTTGGTGATGTTGACACCAAGGAACTTGAAGCTCTCAACCTGCTCCACTACAGCCCCGTCGATGAGAATGGGGGTGTGCTCGGTCCTCTTTTTTTTCCTGTAGTCCACAATCATCTCCTTTGTCTTGGTCACGTTGAGGGAGAGGTTGTTGTCCTGGCACCACACGGCCAGGTCTCTGACCTCCTCCCTATAGGCTGTCTCATCGTTGTCGGTGATCAGGCCTACCACTGTTGTGTCGTCGGCAAACTTAATGATGGTGTTGGAGTAGTGCCTGGCCATGCAGTCATGGGTGAACAAGGAGTACAGGAGGGAATTAAGCACGCACCCCTGAGGAGCCCCCGTGTTGAGGATCAGCGTGGCGGATGTGTTGTTGCCTACCCTTACCACCTGGGGGCGGCACGTCAGGAAGTCCAGGATCCAGTTGCAGAGGGAGGTGTTTAGTCCCAGGGTCCTTAGCTTAGTGATGAGCTTTGAAGGCACTATGGTGTTGAACGCTGAGCTGTAGTCAATGAACAGCATTCTCACATAGGTGTTCCTTTTGTCCAGGTGGGAAAAGGAAGTGTGGAGTGCAATAGAGATTGCATCATCTGTGGATCTGTTGGGGTGGTATGCAAATTGGAGTGGGTCTAGGGTTTATTGGATAATGGTGTTGACGTGAGCCATGACCAGCCTTTCAAAGCACTTCATGGCTACAGATGTGAGTGCTACGGTCTGTAGTCATTTAGGCAGGTTATCTTAGTGTTCTTGGGCACGGGGACTATGGTGGTCTGCTTGAAACATGTTGGTATTACAGACTGTCAGGGACAGGTTGAAAATGTCAGTGAAGACACTTGCCAGTTGGTCAGCGCATGCTCTGAGTACGCGTCCTGTTTAAAAGGTCTTACTCACATCAGCTACGGAGAGCGTGATCACACAGTCGTCCGGAATAGCTGGTGAGCTCAAGCATGCTTCAGTGTTGCTTGCCTTGAAGCGCGCATAGAAGTTATTTAGCACATCTGGTACGCTCGTGTCACTGGGCAGCTCGCGGCTGGGCTTCCCTTTGTAGTCTGTAATAGTTTTCAAGCCCTGCCACATCCGACGAGCGTCGGAGCCGGTGTAGTAGGATTCAATCTTAGTCCTGTTTTGACGCTTTGCCTGTTTGATGGTTCATCGGAGGGCGTAGCGGGATTTCTTATGGTCAGATTTGCCAAATGGAGGGCGAGGGAGAGCTTTGTATGTGTCTCTGTGTGTGGAGTAAAGGTGGTCTAGAGTTTTTTTCCCTCTGGTTGAACATTTAACATGCTGGTAGAAATTAGGTAAAACTGATTTAAGTTTCCCTGCATTAAAGTCCCCGGCCACTAGGAGAGCCGCCTCTGGATGAGCGTTTTCCTGTTTGCGTATGGCCTTATACAGCTCATTGAGTGCGGTCTTAGTGCCAGCATCGGTTTGTGGTGGTAAATAAACAGCTACGAAGAATATAGATGAAAACTCTCTTGGTAGATAGTGGGTCTACAGCTTATCATGAGGTAATCTACCTCAGGCGAGCAAAACCTTAATATTAGATTTCGCACACCAGCTTTTATTGACAAACAGACACAGACCACCACCCCTCGTCTTACCAGAGGCAGCTGTTCTGTCTTGCCGACGCACGGAAAAACCAGCCAACTGTATATTATCCATGTCGTCATTCAGCCACGACTCGGTGAAACATAAGATATTACCGTTTTTAATGTCCCGTTGGTAGGATAGTCTCGAACAGAGCTCATCCAGTTTATTCTCCAGTGATTGCATATTGGCCAATAGAACGGATGGTAGAGGCGAGTTACCCACTCGCCGATGAATTCTCACAAGGCACCCTGAACTCCGCCCCCTGTATCGGCGTCTCTTCATGTGAATGACGGGGATTTGGGCCCGGGCCGGTATCAGCAGTAAATCCTTCGCGTACGACTCAGTAAGGAAAAACTCTTCGTCCAGTTCGAGGTGAGTAATCGCTGTTCTGATGTCCAGAAGCTCTTTTCGGTCATAAGAGACGGTGGCAGAAACATTATGTACAAAATAAGTTACAAACAATGCGAAAAAACGCACAATTGGTTAGGAGCCTGTAAAACGGCAGCCGTCCCCTCCGGCGCCATTCTACCTCCGGCGCCATTTGTGGTGTGTGTGTGTGTTGTGAGTGTAGTGAGTGCAGTGTGTGTACCTGGGCACAGTCCTTGTCCTTCTGTTTAAGCAGCACTTCAGTTCTGTCTCTCTGAGCTGAACTCTTCTGGAGTGAATCTAACTTCTCCTGCAGCTCTCTGTACCTACACACACAGTTGCAGGTCTTTAGTAGCACTGTTCAGAATTACAAGGCAAAATAGAGAGATACTCTAGACAGTTCTTACCTGCACTGCGTGGCTTGTAGCTGCTCTGTGAGTTTGGCCAGGTGGGAGCTGAGGAGACAGGAGGCAGAAACATCAGCACACACACACACGGACACGTTGCAGGAAGTGATGAGGAAATTATGTCATACCTTTCAGATGAGGGCGGGGCATCGGAATGCTGAACCGCTTCCTCGGTAACACCACAACTCTAAGGAACACAAGCATGCCTTTACCTTCCATTTTTAATATTTGCATTCACATTTTAGCCCATTATTTCATTTCATGGTATCCAATTGTATAGTTACGACCTCGTCTGTGAGGCAACTCCCCAGCGTTCTCAGGAGAGGTGACGGGTGGGACATGCGTCCTCTGAAACATGCTCCGCCAAACCACGCTGCGTCTTATCACACTGCTCACTAACCCAGAAGTCAGACAAACCAATGTGTCAGAGGGAACGCCGTTCAACGTGAAGTCAGCTTGAAGGCGCCGCTACAGCGTGCTGAGACTTGGAATCCCCTGACTACCCTCCCCTCCCCTAACTCGGACGATGCTAGGCTGGAATCCCCTGACTACCCTCCCCTAACTCGGACGATGCTAGGCCAATTGTGCACGTCCCTTGGGATCTCCCGGTCAAAATCTGGAATCGAACCAGGTTGTAGTGGCGTCCCTCTGCACTCGGGAGGCCCTACCTTCTATTGTTGATTTCTACACAGAATGACCCTAACACCACACACACACTACCTGTGCCTGATCCAGTCTGGTTCCGAGTTGCTCAACTGAGCGACGAAGGCGGTCTCTTTCCCTCTCTCTCTCCTCCCTCTCCCTCCTCCCTCTCTCTTTCCCTCTCTCTCTCTCCCTCCTCCCTCTCTCTTTCCCTCTCTCTCCCTCCTCCCTCTCTCTCCCTCTCCCCCTCCTCTCTCTCTCCCTCTCTCCCTCCTCTCTCTCCCTCTTTCCCTCCTCTCTCTCCCTCTCTCTCCCTCTCTCTCTCTCTCTCCTCCCTCCTCTCCCTCTCCCTCTCCCTCCTCCCTCTCTCTCTCCAGCTCTTCATTCCTCCTCCTCAGATCTCTCATTCCTTCTTCCAACTGCTCTTTGTGGATCTTCAGCAGCTGGGGAAACCCATTCCCTCAAGAGGGCTACAGAAAGAGGGAGTGAGGAGCGAAAGAGGAAGACCGAAGAGGGGTTGATAGACACAGCATATCCAATAGAAGCTTTGTGGGCCAATACAGTACACTAACTACAATACACTACACTACACTACAGTACACTAACTACAAACAACCCCACTCCTACACTAACCACAGTATATTCCACTACAGTCTCTACTAAAAGCAACTATCAACTAAGTACAGTCCCTACCTACTTACCACTCAGTCCCTCTATACCAACTACACGTCCCTAACTCTATCCACTACGTACCCTACTCTTCCCTACGTCCCTACCTAACTTACCCTCATACCCCTACTATCCAACTCATCACTCTCTAACATCATCCCTAACTCTTACCACCAGTACCTCCCCTAACTATACAACAGTACCCAAACAACAACCACACAGTACCTAACTAACATACCAATACTAACTTCCAACTACATACCCTAACATACCAACTACAGTACCCTACTACTACCACTACAGCTAACCCTACTACAACACTACATTAGCCCTAACTAACTATACCAACTACAGTACCCTAACTATACAACACTCAGTACCCTAACAATACCAACTACAGTACCCTAACTACATACCAACTACAGTACCCTAACTATACCAACTACAGTACCTAACTAACTATACCAACTACAGTCCCTAATCTATACCAACTACAGTACCCTAACTACTATACAACTACAGTACTAAACTAACCAACTACAGTACACTAACTATACCAACTACAGTACCCTAACAACTATACCAACTACAGTACCTACTAACTATAACCAACTACAGTACCCTAAACTATACCCACTACAGTACCCTAACTAACTATACCAACTACAGTACCCTACTAACTAACCAACTACAGTACCCTAACTATACCAACTACAGTACCCTAACTAACTAAAAACCAATACAGTACCCTAACTACTATCCAACTACAGTACCCTACCTAACTATACCAACTACAGTACCCTCTAACTATACCAACTACAGTACCCTAACTAACTATAACCATACAGTACCACTAACTATACCAACTACAGTACCCTAACTATACCAACTACAGTACCCTAACTAACTATACCAACTACAGTACCCTAACTATACCAACTACAGTACCCTAACTAACTATACCAACTACAGTAACCTAACTATACCAACTACAGTACCCCTAACTATACCAACTACAGTACCCTAACTATATACAACTACAGTACCCTACCTACTATACCAACTACAGTACCCTACCTAACTATACCAACTACAGTACCCTAACTATACCAACTACAGTACCCTACTAACTATACCAACTACAGTACCCTACCTAACTATACCAACTACAGTACCCTAACTAACTATACCAACTACAGTACCCTAACTAACTATACCAACTACAGTACCCTAACTAACTATACCAACTACAGTACCCTAACTATACCAACTACAGTACCCTAACTATACCAACTACAGTACCCTAACTAACTATACCAACTACAGTACCCTAACTAATAAACCAACTACAGTACCCTACCTAACTATACCAACTACAGTACCCTACCTAACTATACCAACTACAGTACCCTAACTATACCAACTACAGTACCCTAACTAACTATACCAACTACAGTACCCTAACTATACCAACTACAGTACCCTAACTATACCAACTACAGTACCCTAACTATACCAACTACAGTACCCTAACTATACCAACTACAGTACCCTAACTAACTATACCAACTACAGTACCCTAACTATACCAACTACAGTACCCTACCTAACTATACCAACTACAGTACCCTAACTAACTATACCAACTACAGTACCCTACTAACTATACCAACTACAGTACCCTAACTAACTATACCAACTACAGTACCCTAACTAAACCAACTACAGTACCCTAACTAACTATACCAACTACAGTACCCTAACTAACTATACCAACTACAGTACCCTAACTACATACCAACTACAGTACCCTACCTAACTATACCAACTACAGTACCCTAACTATACCAACTACAGTACCCTAACTATACCAACTACAGTACCCTAACTATACCAACTACAGTACCCTAACTATACCAACTACAGTACCCTACTAACTATACCAACTACAGTACCCTAACTATACCAACTACAGTACAACTATATACAACTACAGTACCTAACTATACCAACTACAGTACCTACTAACTATACCAACTACAGTACCCTAACTAACTATACCAACTACAGTACCTACTAACTATAACCAACTACAGTACCCTACTAACTATACCAACTACAGTACCCTAAACTATACCAACTACAGTACCCTAACTATACCAACTACAGTACCCAAACCTATACCAACTACACTACCTAACTATACCAAACAGCCTAACAGTACCACTACAGTCCTAACTATACCAACTACAGTCCCTAACTATACCAACTACAGTACCCTAACTATACCAACTACAGTACCCTAACTAACACTACAGACCTAACAAACTATACCAACTACAGTACCTAACTATACCAACTACAGTACACTCCTAACTATACCAACTACAGTACCCTAACTATACCAACTACAGTACCCTAACTATACCAACTACAGTACCTACTAACTATACCAACTACAGTACCCTAACTATACCAACTACAGTCTAACTATACCAACCAGTACCCTAACTATACCAACTACAGTACACTAACTACTATACCAACTACAGTACCCTAACTAACTATACCAACTACAGTACCTACCTAACTATACCAACTACAGTACACCTAACTATACCAACTACAGTACCTACTAACTATACCAACTACAGTACCTACTAACTATACCAACTACAGTACCCTAAACTATACCAACTACAGTACCCTAACTATACCAACTACAGTACCCAAACTATACCAACTACAGTACACTACTAACTATACCAACTACAGTACCCTAACTAACTATACCAACTACAGTACCACTAACTATACCAACTACAGTACCCTAACTATAACCAACTACAGTACCCTAACTATACCAACTACAGTACCCTAACTAACTATACCAACTACAGTACCCTAACTAACATACCAACTACAGTACACCTAACTATATACCAACTACAGTACCCTAAACCAACTATACCAACTACAGTACCCTAACTATACCAACTACAGTACCCTAACTATACCACTACAGTACCCCTAACTATACCAACTACAGTACCCTAACATACCAACTACAGTACCCTAAACTATACCATACCAATAAGCCTAACTATACCAACTACCAGTACCCTAACTAACTATACACAACTACAGTACCCTAAACTATACCAACTACAGTACCCTAACACTATAACCAACTACAGTAACCCTAACTAACTAAACCAACTACAGTACCCTACTAACTATACCAACTACAGTACCCTAACTATACCAACTACAGTACCCTAACTAACTATACCAACTACAGTACCCTAACTACTATACCAACTACAGTACCTACTAACTATAACCAACTACAGTTACCCTACTAACTATACCAACTACAGTACCCTAACTGATACCAACTACAGTACCCCTAACTAACTATACCAACTACAGTACCCTAACTACTACCAAACTACAGTACCCTAACTATACCAACTACAGTACCCTAACTAACTATACCAACTACAGTACCCTACTAACTATACCAACTACAGTACCCTAACTAACTATACCACTACAGTACCCTAACTATACCAACTACAGTACCCTAACTACTATACCAACTACAGTACCCTAACTACTATACCAACTACAGTACCCTACCTAACTATACCAACTACAGTACCCTAACACCCTAAACTATACCAACTACAGTACCTAACTAACTATACCAACTACAGTACCCTAACTATACCAACTACAGTACCCTAACTATACCAACTACAGTACCCTAACTAACTATACCAACTACAGTACCCTAACTATACCAACTACAGTGCCCTAACTATACCAACTACAGCTACCCTAACTAACATACCAACTACAGTACCCATAACCCTATACCAACTACAGTACCCTACTAACTATACCAACTACAGTACCTCTAACTATACCAACTACAGTACCCTACCAAAACCTAGTAACCAACTACAGTACCACTACTATAACCAACTAAGTACCCTAACTATACCAACTACAGTACCCTAAAACCAATACAGTACCCTACTAACTATACCAACTACAGTACCCTAACTAACTATACCAACTACAGTACCCTAACTATACCAACTACAGTACCCAAACTAACTATACCAACTACAGTACCCTAACTATACACTACAGTCCTAACTACCAACTACAGTACCCTAACTATACCAACTACAGTACCCTAACTATACCAACTACAGTACCCTAACCTAACTAACCAACTACAGTACACTACCTAACTATACCAACTACAGTACACCTACTAACCACTACAGTACCTATACTATCCAACACGTACCCTAACTATACCAACTACAGTACCCTACCTAACTATACCAACTACAGTACCCTACCTAACTATACCAACTACAGTACCCTACCTAACTATACCAACTACAGTACCCTAACTATACCAACTACAGTACCTACCTAACTATACCAACTACAGTACCCTACCTAACTATACCAACTACAGTACCTACCTAACTATACCAACTACAGTACCCTAACTATAACCAACTACAGTACCTACCTAACTATACCAACTACAGTACCCCTAACTATACCAACTACAGTACCCTACCTAAACTATACAACAACTACAGTACCCTACCTAACTATACCAACTACAGTACCCCTAAACATATACCACATACCACAGTACAACCTAACTATACCAACTACAGTACCACTACCTACTATACCAACTACAGTTACCCACTACAACTTACTATACCAACTACAGTCCCACTACTATACCAACTACAGTACCTACCTTACCCTATAACCAACTACAGTACACTACATACCCCTACTATACCAACGTACCTACTACTACCTCACTCTCCCTATACCCACTACACTACCTTCCCTATACCCACTACACTACCTTCCCTATACCCACTACACTACCTTCCCTATACCCACTACACTACCTTCCCTATACCCACTACACTACCTTCCCTATACCCACTACACTACCTTCCCTATACCCACTACACTACCTTCCCTATACCCACTACACTACCTTCCCTATACCAACTACACTACACTAACTTCCCTATACCAACTACACTCCAGTACAGGCTTGGATTAAATTGAAAGAATTAGAAGGTAAACAAAGCTGCTTGCCCCTCCCCCTTCGCCCTCCCTGATTGAGGGGGGAGGACTGGGGGGAGGACTGGGGGAGGGGCTACTCCTGGAGTTTACCGCACACACGATGCAGAAACTCCTCCCCCTTCTCCCTCAGGTTCTTACCAAGCTGCGTAGCATCATCTGTTCATTTTCCTCTGCTCTCTTCTCCATCCGTCTGTCTGTCACCTGTCAACCAGGAAATACAGCACAATGTGTTGATGGATCAATCTCTCCTACCTCTTCTCCAGCCATCTGTCTACCCACCAGGATTGGGCTCAATTCAGAATTTTGGAATTTACTCCTGTTCAACTCATGAGTTTAAATTCAATTAATTTAATTCAGTGCAATGCAAATAAATTCCACTCAGTCATAGAACATGAACGTTTTCATTGAATCTGACAGGTCACACTTCCAGATACTAAAAAAATCACTTTTCTCTGGAAACAATGTTTGTATACTCTTAGTGCTTAGAATAGCCAATTATACACTGAGTGGACAAAACATTAGGAACACCTTCCTAATATTGAGTGGCACCCCCTTTTGCCCTCGGAACCAATTCATCAGGGTATGGACTCTACAAGGAACAGCCTCAATTCATCAGGGCATGGACTCTACAAGGAACAGCCTCAATTCATCAGGGTATGGACTCTACAAGGAACAGCCTCAATTCATCAGGGTATGAACTCTACAAGGAACAGCCTCAATTCATCAGGGTATGGACTCTACAAGGAACAGCCTCAATTCATCAGGGCATGGACTCTACAAGGAACAGCCTCAATTCATCAGGGCATGAACTCTACAAGGAACAGCCTCAATTCATCAGGGCATGAACTCTACAAGGAACAGCCTCAATTCATCGGGGTATGAACTCTACAAGGAACAGCCTCAATTCATCAGGGCATGGACTCTACAAGGAACAGACTCAATTCATCAGGGCATGAACTCTACAAGGAACAGCCTCAATTCATCAGGGCATGGACTCTACAAGGAACAGCCTCAATTCATCAGGGCATGAACTCTACAAGGAACAGCCTCAATTCATCGGGTATGAACTCTACAAGGAACAGCCTCAATTCATCAGGGCATGGACTCTACAAGGAACAGACTCAATTCATCAGGGCATGAACTCTACAAGGAACAGCCTCAATTCATCAGGGCATGGACTCTACAAGGAACAGCCTCAATTCATCAGGGCATGAACTCTACAAGGAACAGCCTCAATTCATCAGGGCATGGACTCTACAAGGAACAGCCTCAATTCATCGGGGTATGGACTCTACAAGGAACAGCCTCAATTCATCGGGGTATGGACTCTACAAGGAACAGCCTCAATTCATCAGGGCATGAACTCTACAAGGAACAGCCTCAATTCATCAGGGCATGAACTCTACAAGGAACAGCCTCAATTCATCAGGGCATGGACTCTACAAGGAACAGCCTCAATTCATCAGGGTATGAACTCTACAAGGAACAGCCTAAATTCATAAGGGCATGAACTCTACAAGGAACAGCCTCAATTCATCAGGGCATGAACTCTACAAGGAACAGCCTCAATTCATCAGGGCATGAACTCTACAAGGAACAGCCTCAATTCATCAGGGCATGAACTCTACAAGGAACAGCCTCAATTCATCGGGGTATGGACTCTACAAGGAACAGCCTCAATTCATCAGGGCATGAACTCTACAAGGAACAGCCTCAATTCATCAGGGCATGAACTCTACAAGGAACAGCCTCAATTCATCGGGGTATGGACTCTACAAGGAACAGCCTCAATTCATCAGGGCATGAACTCTACAAGGAACAGCCTCAATTCATCAGGGCATGAACTCTACAAGGTGTTGAAAGCATTCCACAGGGATGCTGGCCCATGTTGACTCCGATGCTTCCTACAGTTGTCAAGTTGGCAGGATGTCCTTTGGGTGGTGGACCATTCTTGATACACACGGCAAACTGTTGAGCGTGAAAAACCAATAAGAGATTATAGCTTTCACCTGGTTAGTCTGTCATGGAAAGAGCAGGTGCTCCTAATGTTTTTTGTACACTCACTGTATTTCCACCAACCATTTCATTTGTTTGGCTTCTTTTTGAAGGCCTCAGGGTCAACTTGAGGGTTAAGCTAATTTATTCTGGAAAATGTTGTATTTTCCCCACTGAACTTAATTAGTAACTGATTAATGAAATATAATAACTTAAAATGAATGATCAAGGAAAACAAATGAATATTCTAAGAGTTTGTCCTGAAAATAAATTGTTTAAACAATATTTTATATGCATGTATATAACAAAATGTTTGATGTACAAGATGTATATTTGATAGAATAGAAGAGGCAATTCTGTATCATGTTTACTACTTAAATTCAACTCCACTTCAAGAATGTATTAGGTATTCTGAATCCAACCATCCCTCCCTCTGTACTGACCAGTGAGGATGCCATGGGTCCGTTGGTCTCTGAGCTCTTCTCCTGCTCCCCTCCCCTCCCAGGACCCCCATTGGAGCTGCAGTTGGTGGAGTTGGGGCAGGAGCCCTGGCTGAAACTGGGGCCGTTGACCAGCAGGCCTTGGTCAGCTCCAGGGTTGGAGGGGCTGGCCAGGCTGGTGAGGCTGTGGTTCTCCCTGGCCAGTCTCTCCACTAGAGCCCGGGCCTCCTGGAAACGACAGCTGAGGAACTCCCTCTCTTCTCTAGACCTCCGCTGCCATCCCTCCATCTCCTCACAGCGCTCACGCAGGGCCTGGTTGCTGCGCCGCAACGCCTCTACGCACGCACACACACACACACACACACACAGAAATAGCATTAATACTCACAGCGCTCACGCAGGGCCTGGTTGCTGCACCGCAACGTCTCTACGCACACACACACACAATCTGTGCCTCATTGTGGATCAAATAAAGTCTTCCAGTGGTGTGAGAGACGTACCTCGGAGCTGCTGGTTGTCTCCCAGTAGTCTGGTCACCACCTCATTGGCTGCCAGCTCAAGTGGAACCCGGAGAGCCCCGCCTCCCTCGTCCCCCACCATCTCCCACGTGTCTGTCTGAGGCTGCACCATGCTGCTGAACCATGTTAACATCAGACACACATCATACATACATGGTATCATACATGTAGACAGACACACATCATACATACAGTGGGGAGAACAAGTATTTGATACACTGCCGATTTTGCAGGTTTTCCTACTTACAAAGCATGTAGAGGTCTGTGATTTTTATCATAGGTACACTTCAACTGTGAGAGACGGAATCTAAAACAAAAATCCAGAAAATCACATTGTATGATTTAAGTAATTAATTTGCATTTTATTGCATGATAAGTATTTGATCACCTACCAACCAGTAAGAATTCCGGCTCTCACAGACCTGTTAGGTTTTCTTTAAGAAGCCCTCCTGTTCTCCACTCATTACCTGTATTAACTGCACCTGTTTGAACTCGTTACCTGTATGAAAGACACCTGTCCACACACTCAATCAAAGACTCCAATCTCTCCACAATGGCCAAGACCAGAGAGCTGTGTAAGGACATCAGGGATAAAATTGTAGACCTGCACAAGGCTGGGATGGGCTACAGGACAATAGGCAAGCAGCTTGGTGAGAAGGCAACAACTGTTGGCGCAATTATTAGAAAATGGAAGAAGTTCGAGATGACGGTCAATCACCCTCGGTCTGGGGCTCCATGCAATATCTCACCTCGTGGGGCATCAATTATCATGAGGAAGGTGAGGGATCAGCCCAGAACTACACGGCAGGACCTGGTCAATGACCTGAAGAGAGCCGGGACCACAGTCTCAAAGAAAACCATTAGTAACACACTACGCCATCATGGATTAAAATCCTGCAGCGGACGCAAGGTCCCCCTGCTCAAGCCAGCGCATATCCAGGCCCGTCTGAAGTTTGCCAATGACCATCTGGATGATCCAGAGGAGGAATGGGAGAAGGTCATGTGGTCTGATGAGACAAAAATAGAGCTTTTTGGTCTAAATTCCACTCGCCGTGTTTGGAGGAAGAAGGATGAGTACAATCCCAAGAACACCATCCCAACCGTGAAGCATGGAGGTGGAAACATCATTCTTTGGGGATGCTTTTCTGCAAAGGGGACAGGACGACTGCACCGTATTGAGGGGAGGATGGATGGGGCCATGTATCGCGAGATCTTGGCCAACAATCTCCTTCCCTCAGTAAGAGCATTGAAGATGGGTCGTGGCTGGGTCTTCAATCATGACAACGACCCGAAACACACAGCCAGGGCAACTAAGGAGTGGCTCCGTAAGAAGCATCTCAAGGTCCTGGAGTGGCCTAGCCAGTCTCCAGACCTGAACCCAATAGAAAATCTTCGGAGGGAGCTGAAAGTCTGTATTGCCCAGCGACAGCCCAGAAACCTGAAGGATCTGGAGAAGGTCTGTATGGAGGAGTGGGCCAAAATCCCTGCTGCAGTGTGTGCAAACCTGGTCAAGACCTACAGGAAACGTATGATCTCTGTAATTGCAAACAAAGGTTTCTGTACCAAATATTAAGTTCTGCTTTTCTGATATATCAAATAATGTCATGCAATAACATGCAAATTCATTACTTAAAAATCATACAATGTGATTTTCTGGATTTTTGTTTTAGATTCCATCTCTCACAGTTGAAGTGTACCTATGATAAAATTAACAGATTGTAATTTCAGTGTCTGGGAGCTATCTGTTAAGAACTAACGTTAGCTCCCAAACACTGAAATTACAATCTGTTAAGAACTAACGTTAACACTGAAATTACAATCTGTTAAGAACCAACGTTAACACTGAAATTACAATCTGTTAAGAACTAACATTAACACTGAAATTACAATCTGTTAAGAACTAACATTAACACTGAAATTACAATCTGTTAAGAACTAACGTTAGCTCCCAAACACTGAAATTACTATCTGTTAAGAACTAACGTTAGCTCCCAAACACTGAAATTACTATCTGTTAAGAACTAACGTTAGCTCCCAGACACTGAAATTACTATCTGTTAAGAACTAACGTTAGTAATTTCAGTGTCTGGGAGCTATCTGTTTGAGTGCACTTGAAATGTGCAGCATGCAATACCAATGGTCTTGATCATATGAAGAAATAACTCCATTGACCATTTAGCCAGTATATTGAAAGCTAGCAAACGTTACAGTTGACTAGCCTTGCCAGTTAATACTGTCAACGTCAATGTGCCTGCGTCAAATTGGGCCTTACTGCTATTAGCCCATACAAACACATTGAATAACAGATTCACTACATGGAACAACAGATAGTCCTTACTGCTATTAGCCCATACAAACACATTGAATAACAGATTCACTACATGGAACAACAGATAGTCCTTACTGCTATTAGCCCATACAAACACATTGAATAACAGATTCACTACATGGAACAACAGATAGTCCTTACTGCTATTAGCCCGTACAAACACATTGAACAACAGATTCACTACATGGAACAACAGATAGTCCTTACTGCTATTAGCCCGTACAAACACATTTAATAACAGATTCACTACATGGAACAACAGATAGTCCTTACTGCTATTAGCCCGTACAAACACATTGAATAACAGATTCACTACATGGAACAACAGATAGTCCTTACTGCTATTAGCCCATACAAACACATTGAATAACAGATTCACTACCTGGAACAACAGATAGTCCTTACTGCTATTAGCCCATACAAACACATTGAATAACAGATTCACTACATGGAACAACAGTCCCCAAAAAAGAATCTAAAGGAAGTTTGTTCTGAAGTGTCTGTCCTATCCTATATGAGATATATATATATATATTTGTTTTTATATGTATTGAACCCCTTATTTTTGTCATTAAACAGTCTCCATTTTCGACAGGTACCGGCGGACCTTCAGACGAGTCTTGTGAGCTTCCTAGAGCAAAACAACCGACATGTAAGTGTTGGTGAGAGTCTCACCTTTCCACCCAAACTGTTCAGACGCTACAGACAGAAGTTGGCAGATCGGCTGTACCGACTCCAGACGCTTGTGGGGGGTCGTAGGGCAAAACGGAGAACACCACGGTGTTGGAGAGTTTCATCTTCAGAGGGTCTTAATAATGCAACATAACGGCGGTGGATTGAGACGCATCCAACGCAACATAACGGCGGTGGATTGAGACGCATCCAATGCAACAAAATAAAAACATCTCTAGCTTTTAAACTGACATTTTTTTATGGGGATGTTTGTATTATGCTAATTGGATTTCCGCGGAGGCTCGGACATCGACCTCAGGGGGTTAGAAATGAAAAGCTGAAATGTCTTGAGTCAATAAGTATTCAACCCCTTTGTTGTGGTATGCATAAATCAATTCAGGAGTGAAAATGTGCTTAACAAAGTCACAAGTTTCAAGATTTAATGTAACGTGGACAAGTACAGTGAAATGCCTTTCTTGCAAACTCTAAACCCAACAATACAGTAATCAATAACAAGGTAATACTAAAAATAACAAGGTAGAACAAAAACATGGAGAGAAATAAAAGGCCACGAGAAAGTAAGAATACTATACAAGGACAGTTCCAGGGTCAGTAGCTATATACAGCCACTGTATGTATAGGGGTTAGGTGACTATATACAAGGTCAGTTCCAGTACCATATTAACAATGTGCAGGGATACTGGAGTGATGGAGGTAGATATGTATAGGGGTCAGGGGACAGGGATACTGGAGTGATGGAGGTAGATATGTATAGGGGTCAGGGGACAGGGATACTGGAGTGATGGAGGTAGATATGTATAGGGGTAAGGTAACTAGGTATCAGGATATACACTACATGGCCAAAAGTATGTGGACACCCCTTCAAATTAGTCCATTCGGCTATTTCAGCCACACCCGTTGCTGGCAGGTGTATCAAATCGAGCACACAGTCACGCAATCTCCATAGACAAACATTGGCAGTAGAATGGCCTTACTGAAGAGCTCAGTGACTTTCAACGTGGCACCGTCACAGGATGTCACCTTTCAACAAGTCAGTTCGTCAAATTTCTGCCCTGCTAGAGCTGCCCTGGTCAACTGTAAGTGCTGTTATTGTGAAGTTGAAACGTCTAGGAGCAACAACGGCTCAGCTGCGAAGTGGCAGGCCACACAAGCTCACAGAACGGGACCACGGAGTGCTGAAGCGCTTACAAATAGTCTGTCCTCAGTTGCAACACTCACTACCGAGTTCCAAACTGCCTCTGAAAGAAACGTCAGCATAAGAACTGTTCGTCGGGAGATTCATGAAATGGATTTCCATGGCCGAGCAGCTGCACACAATCCTAGGCTCGGAGCAGTGGAAACGCGCTCTCTGGAGTGATGAATCACGCTTCACCACCTGGCAGTCCGAACTGTTTCTGCATGTTGGTTATTGACTTGGACACGTAAAAACGTGTTTTGACATTGGGCTATTTATCAAAACGTCTTGTCAACAGAAAGCTGCCACAACATCATTTTCAACTTTCATTTTAGAAATATAAATTGAACTTTCAACATTACATTTCCAATGTTATTGTACTGAATCAGGTAAAAACTGCTGAATGAGTCCAAAAACATGCTGCGGTTGATTTATTTAGATATAACGTTACCAGAAATCACCAAAACGGGTTAGCCCTGCCTACCTCTCTATAGGCAGTCAGTCTGTTCGGCGCCAGCTAGGCTCCTTTCACTTCTAGCTCCATCATGGTTGGTTCTGATACGTACCTAGTTAACCTACTGTATCTTTACCTAGCAGGCTAACAGCTAGTTATGACATTTGAAACACGGTTAGTTCACTTGCAAGTCATCCAGTCATATGAACCAGTACCTGAGCTTGAGGAGACGACATCTCCTCTGACGCCCAGCCGGTACGCACAGTGTGTAGCTACGACATCTCCTCTGACGCCCAGCCGGTACGCACGGTGTGTAGCTACGACATCTCCTCTGACGCCCAGCCGGTACGCACGGTGTGTAGCTACGACATCTCCTCTGACGCCCAGCCGGTACGCACGGTGTGTAGCTACGACATCTCCTCTGACGCCCAGCCGGTACGCACGGTGTGTAGCTACGACATCTCCTCTGACGCCCAGCCGGTAC